CCCCCCCAATTCGTGTCAAGGCCATTTTTTTAACTGACAGACACATGCCCTCATTGATACAGTCACTGACAGATAAACAGTCATTGGCACACACTGTTTAACCAGCACACACTTTGACTGACAGACACACACTGACACACCAACTCAATGACAGGCACACACTCTCAGATACACATAATATGACATACACACACTGACACACACACTCACAGGCACACCTATTCTAACTCACAGACACACACTGACAGCTACACTCGCTCACTCACAGTAAGGTGGACAGCCCCAGAAAACGAGGCAAACAAGGCATTTGTCTGGGAGCTTGGGGTGGCATTTTTTGGCACCCCCCAACCCCCTGAAAGTGCCGCCCTAGGCAAATGCCTTGTTTGCCTTGTGGTAAATACATCCCTGTGTTTGTGACTAAGTGGCTACTAAAAAAGACTAAACATACCCCACGTTCAATACCTTGGGTTGTCTACTTTTTCAAATGGTCTTCCATTATAGAGGTAATTCTCATTCCTGGGCTACCACACCGTCTCAAAGGTAATATTACTAATCTGGCAAATTTCAATGTGAAAATGGAACGTTCTATATTTGACCCTGTAACTTTCCAAAACACCATAAAACCTGGTAATGGGGGGTACTGTTGTACTCGTGAGACATCGCTGATTACAAATATGTGCATTTTTTTGCAGTAAAACCTAACAGTATTATGACATGTACAGCTAAAATGTGAGGCGGAACTACAAATTTTTTAAAAAATTTTTAAATTTCTCACAGTTTTTTAAATTTTATTCATAATAAATTATGTTTCATAATAAATATTTGATATGAAATGAAAGCACTGTTTCCCCTGAACAAAATGATATATAATAAGTGTGGGTGCATTTACTATGAAAGAGTTGAATTACGGTTGGACAGACATGTAGCGCAAATGCCAGGTTTTGTTTACATTTTGTTCACAATGTGTACATTTGGCTCCTTCCTTAAATGGAGGCAGAAACACCTCCCTGGCTGTCAATCAGAGAGCAGGGGGAAGGGGGGGTTCTTCCTCTTTCATTTGCTCCACAAAGATAAAACAGAAGCTGGTGCACTCCTAACTTCTGTCATTCTTAAAGGAATACTATACAAACATGTATTCCTGACCCTAAAGTGGTAAAAACACTATCTAGCCCTCCTGGCCCCTCTTGCCCCTCTATACATAGTAAAATCGTACCTTTATTCCAGTCTGCTTGTGCTGGCTTTGCCCCGATCTGCCTTCTTGGCTGACATCATCAGAAGTGATTATCTCAGCCAATCACAATGCTTTCCTATAGGAAAGCATTGGATTTGCTGAGATTGTCAATTCTGATGATCTCAGCCAAGGAGGCAGGCCGGGAGGTGGAGCCAAATGCTGCCCTGGCCAATCAACATCTCCTCCTAGAGATGCATTGAATCAATGCATTTAATCAATGCATCTCTATGAGGAAGGTTCAGTGTTTCCATGCAGAGGGTGGATTCAATGAATGTCAGTGCTGAACCGTGTGCAGGAGTGACTCAGGAAGCACCTACAGTAGCCATCTGAGGAGTGGCCAGTGGAGGTATCCCTAGGCTGTGTTTACTGCAAAAAGCCTGCAGGGACTGACTATACTCACCAGAACAAATACAATAAGCTTCCAGTGACAGCCAGTTAAGTTCTTTTAGCATGTCACAATGGTGGGTCCTGTAATTACATTGTAGCACAAATCGGCAGAACGAGTTATACAATGTGTTGAGTTTATTAATGTGGGATTGTGATGCAGATGCATATACTACATCCCCATAATCAATGATTGGCATCAGCATTTGCTGTACAATCTTTTCCTTTACTGTAGGACTTAGACAGGATTTGTTTCTGTACAGGGCACCTAGTTTTGGATAAAGTTTAGATGCAAGCTTTTCTAAATGCAGGCCAAAAGATAGATTGGGGTCTAACATCATACCCAAGTATTTGAAAGAGTGGACTGCGGTCAGTATGCCATTTGGATTTGTTTTGATGGATAGGTGGGAATTGTGTAATTTGCGTAATTTAGGTACTGTTCCAAAGATCATTGTGACAGTTTTGTCAGTGTTCAGGAAGAGTTTGTTTTTTGCAATCCACTTTTCTACCTCTTGGTCTTGGAGCACAGCCTCAAGCTGCGGTAGATTGCATTTGTTTGCATAGATTGCTGTGTCATCTGCGTACATTTGAGGATTTGCAGACATTAGGCAGATCATTTATAAATAATGTAAATAGTAGGGGGCTGAGAATGGAACCTTGGGCAACACCACACGTGACTGGGAGAGGGAGGGAGTCGCTGTCAGAAATGGACACATATTGCGAGCGATCCGATACATATGATTGAAACCA